TGGATGGATGGATGGATGGATGGATGGATGGATGGATGGAACAGTTGGTACCTGCTAAAAACGACTTAGAAGATGAAAGCTTGTTAAAAACTATTAGCTGGACTTCTGTTGAAAAGGAGCAGCAGCCTGATAACACTGGAAATACAAGTAGGGTGAAAATATTTATTCACTTACATAAGTAAAATAATTAAGTGGTAATAATAATAATTTAAAAAAACTTACCCTTTTGACAAATGTGATTGCCAGGATTATTTATCTGGGGTTTTTCTTTTTGTTTGTTTGTTTGTTGTTGCTGCTTTTTTCAGCAAAACATATGTTAATGACCCCATTAATTAAAAAAAAAAACATTCAATGCAAGGTCCCATTAATACTGTTATGTTATCTCACTTTCAATTATGGTTGATATAATTATTTTGAACTCAGCCATTAAAAATAATTAACATGGTCAAAACATGATGGACTGCTAATTATTATGGCCTCCAGTAATTCTTTTAAATTAGTTAACTCGTTTATTTTGACTGAATTTGTTGTGTGCTTCCACCTGTGTGTCTGGACTTGTAAATAAAATAAATTGCAGCTCTCTACTATGCCCATAGATACACTTTTTGACCAAGTCTTAAACACAATATTTAATACATTTACTTCTTATTCTTCACAATATTACATTGTTTTGGATAAGCCACATAACATACAAAATGTAGGTCATCGATTTATTTGAAAACAATTGAAAAACATCAGCAGTTTATTAAGTTAGCTAAAATAATTTCATTTTTACTTTAAACTCATCCTAAAAGTAATATTGGTTGAGATTGCATACAGTAATTCTTCATGGTGTAAAGATCTTTCTAGAGTTTACCTGTGTCTTTCCACAAAACCACACCAGTCATGATGAGTCGTGATGTATGACGTCAGCGACATCATGACGTAGGCGGAGGTAAACTATTTGCCGCTGCATGACCCACGTGACTTCCGCATTGCATTCTGTCTACGGAAGTGTCGCAACTCTCTCTTTATAGGGCTGTGGCGGCGGCTAACAGACGGCTTGTCGGTGGGGAGAGGATAGACCGAAACGAACGAAAAGTGACTTTACAGATAATTTAGAAGAACGTCGATTTTTTTACATCCTATTAAAGAAAATCTAAGAAGAAAGTCGGAGCAGGTAGGTTAAATTTTTAACTAATTGAAGATTAGCCGTTCATCTTGTGTTAGCATAGCAAAGCTACCAGTCAGAAAATCGACTGATAAACAAATTGATTTTCTTATTACATTCGTTTAATGTGTTTGTTCTGGCGATTTAGAGCGGAATCACTAATGTCCAAGTATTTTTCTCATTCGAGTGAAGGTAAATTCGGTTTAGCTCAGCTTCGTTTTTGAGTCATCAATAACTTTTAGGTATAGTCTATCAATTAAGCTTGACATTATAATGATGTGTCAGAGTCTTCCCTACTGCTTGTCTTTACGATCGACGACGTGAGCTGTTATTGATTACATAATCGATCCGTTGTTAATCTCATCGGGTTAGCTAGCTTAGCCAGCTTGCTAACGAGCAAACTCATTGTTTGTGGATCCTGGGGTCACGTGACTCAACGTAACTTCTTTGCTGACAGCTCATTTAACTTTTTACCTGTAGAATAAATGAAACCCTTTTTACCTGCACTAAGGTGTTGGTGTGTTGTCCTGGTTGGAAAAATAAAAATCCTGTCACTTCAGTGTAGTTGGCAGAAATGGAGTTTCCAGACTTGGGAGAGCACTGTTCTGAGAAAACATGCAAACGACTAGGTGAGTAAATTATGAAATTAATAAATATGTAAAACAAATTCTGGGGTATTTTTTTACTTTGCTAACCCTTCAACAATGTTTGCAGATTTTCTTCCAATGAGATGTGATGCCTGCAAAGAGATTTTCTGTAAGGATCACATAACCTATGCAAATCATAAATGTACATCATTTTACAAAAAGGTAAGTGATTGCAAATGTCTAAAGAATTTAAAATGGATAGGTCTCTTTTGTAGCCACCCTTTTAAACATATTTAATCATTTAATTTGTATTTAAATCAAACCTGGAAAAATAAATGTGTGTACCGGGACATGTAAACGTGTAATAATGAGTAATGGGTTTTGATTCTTGGTAAATGCATTAATCCAACGGTTTTTCATACCCTTCCTTACACACACACTTTACTAATCTCTGACCCCCCCCAACCTTTTTTCATTAGGACTTGCTAAAATGGACAGTTTGATTAGAAATCAGTATATCAGAGGAAGAGCTCAGGCTGAGTGGTTTAGAGACAAAGTTAAGTTGTTTTTCCTTGTCCAGTCTCAGCACAACTCGCTTCACCCTAATTTAACCCGACTCATGTTCACAAAGTATCTGTAGTTTTTCATATAAGTGAGTGCCGCCTCAATGTGGGCGTCAGTGATGGATATCATGGCGTCGTAGCCTGAAACTTAACACTGTTGGAGAAATAAGTTCTCTGGCACCATTTCCAAAGATGCTGAGCCGAGGCCACCTTCCCTCCAACAGTCGGAGACCCACCTCAATTCTGCAATTGGCCAAAAAGCAAGGAAACCTCTGCACCTTCTCATTTTACCACAGTGTTGCCATTTGAATTGATGCATTAGAAAAATGACAAAGTAAATAAAAAAACAACGAATGCTGCAGTTTTGACATTTAAAAAAATGTTTGGTTTCTTGTTACCCTCTTGTGATCTCGGCCAATCAATGGCCTGTAGTCTGCCCACATTAAATATTGAGCTCCATTTTGTTCTCGTGGAATCTCGGTTAAGAAGCGAGCTGAAAGTGGGTGCGTCCACTAAATGGAAAGAACGTGAAGCTGCACAGACTTGGCTGGAGTCGAGCCCATGGCTACTAGAGAGTCAAAGCTTAGGTGTAGAGCAGAGATGGTAAATGTATGAAACAAAGAGTTGAACAAGGAGCTGCCAGCAAGAAGAAAAAGAGAAAGGTGGCAGGACGAGCTTTATGGATTTAATGAAGAAGAACTGTGTGACAGAGGAGAATGTTATTGGTGAGCTGGAGGCAGTCGAGCTGCTGTGGCAGCTCAAAGAACAAGACTTTAATGTCTTTAATTGAGTTTGTTTTTTGCTGTGATAGTATTGTGTGTGTGTGTGTGTGTGTGTGTGTTAAGTGTTGTGTACACACCATTGTTCTTGCTTTATGCAGATCAGTTATTTTCCCCCAGTTAAATAACATGATTCTTGTCTTATCCAATTTTTTGTAGGATATCCAGGTCCCAGTATGCCCATTATGTAACATCCCGATTCCCATTAAGAGAGGAGAAATGCCAGACATTAAAGTTGGTGAACACATTGACCGTGACTGCAAATCAGACCCTGCACAACGAAAAAGAAAGGTCAGTATAGACGTATATTTTTCACTTCTTGTGACTCGGAATAATAAAAGAAATACTCACTTGTTGTTTTCTTTCTAGATCTTCACAAACAAATGTTCTAAAGGTGGCTGTAAACAAAAGGAAATGATCCGAGTCGCCTGCGACCAGTGTCATTTAAACTACTGTCTTAAGCATCGACACCCGTTAGACCATGATTGTAAGACTGGTGGGAAACCTCTGTCCAAATCTGGGTGGGTGCACATTCTGCTCTTCCTTCATCTGCAAACCACAATAGGCCTGTTGGGTAGTGACGGGCGAAAGATACGGGGCTGCGGAGCTTGTGTCATTCTTCCTGAAGCAGAGTGATTCATAACGCCGTGTCGAGGGAGCTTGTATCAGAACACCACCGTCACGTGACCAATGACGTCATCACTGCTTCGTTTCGCTCTGACTCCATCACACTTTTACAGATTTGAACACTTTGGTGCTGCACAAGCTATTTATGATACATTATTCTTCTTAAAAATGTAAAGTTGTGAGGAAATAAAATAAGGGAAAGTAAAATAAGTTTAGTTTGGCAATTTTCTGTAAACTGTTTTCAAAGGTTTGGGATCTGTTTGATCTTTTTCCACCAGATAGTGTTTCCAATTCAATTCAGTTTATTTCTAAAGTTCCAAGTCACAACAGAAGTCGTCTCAGGGACTGAACAGAAACATTCATGTATAAAATAATTAACAGAAACATTCATGTAT